GATGGCCCACTTGCGTCACTTGCGTAGGGTCCGCGATGGTTGCGATTTGGGGTTTTCCCGGTTTCGCGCCTGTCGCATCGCGTGTCGCATCGCAGAAAAGCTTCTGTGAATCCCGCTTTAGCCCCACGTACTGTCACTGTGTCTACCGACACACTTGCCATTTTTGGTCATGCCTTGTCCCGTTACTGTACTGGTTCATGGATACTTTTTCTCTTTCGTTCGTCCCTCATGTAGTCTTGATGTTTGGACTTTTTTCACTGTTGAGGCAACAAGCTGAAGTAATGAAAAAACAACCAACCAACTCCGTGTTTTCTACACGGTAGTGCTAAACTACTGAGACCAGAGGTTGTGTCGTTGTTGGTGTGCCTGACCAGCGCAGGTTCCACTGTGGAGGCCCTACTCTCAGGCCCGTTGTTGAGTTTTTTTGTGCTCTCTCCCCTTCATTTCTCAGGAGTAGGTTGTAACCAGGGAGTTGTCAAATACCGGTATTTGACGACTCCCTGGTTGTATCTTATAAAGAATTCAATTTTTTTTTAAAGTGACCACGTTCATATCATTGTATTTTCATGCCGAGACCCCCCCCCCCCCCCAGGCTACACGCATGATTGAGCTACATGTACAAGTGAAGTGTTGATCGATGAACTGGATCCGATCAAGCTAGCCAATGTCATGTCAGGTGCCTTGCAACCCTAGCCAGACCTGCCAACCGTTGGTATATTCACTGGAGCAGGGTGCAAACTTGACTCCCACGACAGGATGATTTCATTGGGCAGGCACTACATTCTCGAAAAAATTGCAATGAAATAATATTTGTACTGAAGTACAAAAGAAAGGAGAATGTGGTAAAGGCAATGACTATTTGACAGAGCTAACAGAAGATACAAAATGGCTCTCCAGCATTCACTGGGCCAATAATATAAAATCAACTGCCAGCGACATAGAATATCAATCCCAGGGCTCATCAGCGGCCAGAGGGGGATAGTAGGGAATCAACAGAAGGGCGGAGGGATGAAACACTAGGTATGTAAAATACATGTATGGAAGTACAGGTGTCTATGTGCTAAATACATGTATGGAAGTACAGGTGTCTATGTGCTAAATACAATCATGTACATACTTCAGAAATAGGTATAAGTACAAGTGTCTATGTACATGAGTGCATCATCAGGCTGTTCAGAGTGCTCACTGTCCAGTGGACTGAGCTGGTAATACAAGACAAGAGTGAGTGAATACAAAATGTAGAGCTCCAATTGGGATTTGAATAATAGCAAAATAGATCAGGAGTGTGCATTGCTCAACGACGTGGGCATGACATCATCACTATGGGGCATGACATCATTACTATGGGCATGAAAGCATGGATTAGTGCATGACATCATCATTATGGGCATGACATCATCATCATCATGAACTTGTGGACAGTGAACAGCAATGCACAACTGTGGCACTTGCCAGAGAAAACAGAATACATGTTGCCGGAAATATTTTCTCATCAGGAAGACATCAAGGACAGTGAAACCAAAGAGAACGAGCTGGAGAAACGTCTGTTGAAACACGGCTATAAACTACATGCAGGAAATCATAATACATCAGCTTTTCATCAATCCATCCTGGACCTATACTTCACAGGGTAGGTCCAAGTGGAGACGATCGATACAAATCTAATGGACAACTGGAAGTCAGCAGTAGCGGAAGATCCCAGAGAAACATCGCCTGCATTGGACCAACACAAGAATGAAGATGTACATGAATGCTGGCCAGCTCTCATGGACGGTCCGGTATGGGATATGTATGGGATATGTAAGGGATATGTATGGGATATGTATGGGATATGTATGGGATATGTACGGGATAGCGTGCCAGGAACGGCATGTCATGTGACATGTGAACATGCACAACACACCCATTCATAGGGAATACAGCGGTGTGGATACCGGCTATGACAGACACTACAGTTAAACATGTCTAAGACCAGCACTCAAGAGACCTTCAGAACGTGTTCTCTGTTATCAGGTGGTCTTCTTATAGGTGATTCACACGACAGACAAATCCACGTGCACCAGACCGTTACTATGGCATTTTACCTGCGAACGAGAAAGTGGCTGAAAGTGGCTGAAAAGTGCAAGTGAGCTGGGGGCCTACTTTCACGATAGTCGTGGTGTGCACGAGTGCATTTACACAAAAAAGCGCGAAACAAGACTTGACTTTTTACGCGGCTCTTTTCACCATGATAATTATTGTATGCGTGTTTTGAAAATTTGAAATACCCATGGCAACTGGTGGGTGAATCATTCAAAAATGCAAACGTGCCTGTCGTCGAGTACAGACGTGTGAATCGACGCACTCACTTTTCTCGTGAATCACTCGCTGTAAAACGTGCAAGTGCCTGTCGTGTGAATCGCCTAGTAGTGCTATCCAGGACCATTTGACTGGAAATGGCATCCCGTGGCCCGGGTTGCAGTGGTCTAATGGGACAGGTGTTGGCATTATCGGAGTTGTCACCTTGACAGGTGTTACTCTGCTAGTACTAACGTAACGTCTTGTGCATAGCTTTGGGAATGACATGAGTGATTTGTCCCTGCCCTCGCGATATCGAGCACTTTGTGCAAATACATGTACATAGTAACTCAGCTTGTAGTACAAACCGTACATTCCGTATATACTGTCATTGACATGGAAATCCGGTGGAATGACCGGGGCCACCACCCTCAGCGTGTACAGAACGTTGTGTGCATGCAGTGCACGTGTTGATAGCAGTACACATGTACTAATGGTTGTCATGGGGCCGCTTGACCTCCGATTGGATTTCCATGTCCACAACAGTCGATATACAGTCAGACCTCGTTTATCCGGTCCTCTTTTATCCGGATCCCTCGCCATCCGGAAGAAAATCGCTGGTCACCGATTTACAGCATATGTCATGCATACATACAGTATGTGTGTTCGATTATCCGGTTCCCTCGGCTATCCGGATATTGTTTTTGTGGAAAACGGATGTGTGCGGTTATGCGTGGTCTGACTGTATAGCAATACGGGATGAATTGCACTCGGAACTCAAAGCAAAGTCCAGTTATATTGCACTTGGCTTACCCGGGTAGTCATGACAACAGAGGCATCATGGCCGATCAAGGAGAGCCTCAAACTCAGTACGCTTGAATGCGAAGAGTGAGTTCATGTCTGTGATGATGTCTAAGAAGATGATGAACGATGCCCGCCCGCACCCCTGCAGGTGCTGCAGCAGTTCCTCGTTGTGTACATTTGGGCCAGCACTCTTTTCTAGTGCCCTGAAGTGCCTGATAATCAGGTTGTCTGCAAGAAGCCTCCGTGCTATGACTTTGTCTCGGAACGTTCTTGGGTCCAGTGAGATAATCCATCTTCGGTACTTGTCCAGGCAGAAATCTGGATGGTCCCAGGGATCTAGGGGAATACAGCACAGAACACAATGCAGGCAAATATACCAATCTACTCTTATCTGCATAGAGAACTACAGAGCAACAGAGCATAATTGCATCTTGGTATGGGTCTTATCCAGAGCACAGTCACACCAAAAATAATGAAATATGCTATAGAAAATAAGACAGGAATAATCTTCAACATACTGTACTCGTCAGTTGCTGGTCTGGCGACGTCTTCAGAAGCAGCTGCAGTCAGATTGGCACAGCATGGAACACACACATGAGATTACAAGTACAATTTGCTAGGTTCACTACCAGCACACACACACACACACACACACACGCACACGTGCACGCATTCACGCACGCACACGCGCACACGCACACACACACATACACGTGCACGTGCACGCATTCACGCACGCACACGCGCACACGCACACACACACACACACACGTGCACACACACACGCACACACACACACACACACACACACACATTTAAATCACTGTAAACCAGCTCATGAGCGCATGTGCATAGATAGTGGGCACTATACAATCCAACTGAAGAGATTGAATCCTAGATTTCTCCCTTTGTTAACCAGTTCATTTCTTGCAAACAAGACAGTTGAAATGCCGAAAAACATCACCACCTTAACATTGTAAGAGGGATGAGTTCATGGTCAGAAGAAATGATGTCATCACTCATTGGCATTACATCATCATCTATTAGCATCACGTGATAGCCAGTAAACAAAGAACACATACTTAGACATGCACACCAGGGGATGTTTGACTGGCCAATCCGGATTCAGATCAGATCCGCTGGACCAGTCAAAACAGCAGTTCCCAGGCAGACTTGCGACTATACAGTCATGCACCAACACACATCCATATCCATATCCACATCCACTCACGCACCCCCACCCACTCACCCCCACCCACACACCTCCACCCACACCCCCACCCACGCACCCCCACCCACACACCTCCACCCACACCCACCTAAACCCGCATACACAAATAAATACAAAGCGTGTTTTCTGGAGTATAAGCTGCTCCTAGTCTTTTTGTCACGAAATACCGACATCTATCCTATTAATTATCCCCATCAATTTGACCATTGTTGTATAAGACAAACAGATTTTGTTTTGGGTGGATTGCTGGTGTTTAAAGTGCCCCTTATACTCTGAAAAATACGCTACACATACACAGCATGCACACACACACATACACAGCATGCACATATACACATGCACAGCACTCACACACACACATGCACAGCACTCACACACGCACTCACATGCACACACACACGCACACACATAGGCACACACACACATGCATGCATGTACGCATGCATGCACACACACTCACAT